GGTGCTTCTCGGGTGCTGAACCCAGACAACCAACGCCCATTTGCCCGAAACGAACAGGTTCAAAGAAGTACGCTGCTACGCCCCTCCCCATCTCTGGGATATGGTGTAACTATGTTGCGAATTCAGCATCAAAAACATCACTAGAACTTGTACATAGAACAGCAGCGAAATTTATTATGTAGCTTGATTAGAGGTATAATCGAATGTATACAGGTATGCTGATACTATGTCAGTTATTAAAAAAGAAATGTTAGCACAGACATTTTTCCACCACATAATACAGAAATAAACTTATAATAACTCGACAAATACTCTAACAAAACAAAGGAAGACTGCAACTAAATTACAAGCTACAAGGCCTCCAGAGACCACTCGCCTCATTGAAATCCACGCACGTTACGAATAATAAGGCACCACGACTTCAAAATGTCCCCCTACACCAACCTCACATCCCGGGAATGAAGAGGGCGTGGCTGCGCACTTTATTGGAACATGACAGCGGTTGCTCTTTTGGTGGATACTGCCACTTTGGAACAACAGTGACCATATGTTTGTCTAGCGCAAAACAGGACATTTGTGAGGAACGCATCCGGCGCCATGTTCAAATGAATATGCAACCACGCCCTGTCCACCTCCCAGATATGGAGCGTACATTGTCATGCGAAGGGAACATTTACTTCAGAACATAGAGTTAATAAATAGAAAAAAAATCAGGTTCAACAGATCATTAATTGCTCATTACGCGAAAAACGAGTAAAGTTCGAGGTCCCAGTAAAGCCTAGATAAATTACAAAATGTGTATTCAACTCACGTTAGGGCAGGTTGGCTGGAACACAATGCTCATCTAAGGGACAAGTTTGGTTCAGGAGATCGTAACGCCCCAACCAACCACTGTTCCTATCCAGATGACTCGGCATCTCAGTGGCGTCAAATCAGTCAGGACACAGCAGAGGTTCTAAACAGTCTATTCCATTTCATCACCTCTAAAAAAGAATCCGAGAGCAAGTTAACTGCTCCCTTATCATTGGAGTTTTTGAGATTCAGTGGTCATTCTGTAATGAACCGACGCTTGAGCGGCTCAGGGAGGGGGGGGGGGGGGAGAGCAGCCGACTTTCCTCTGTTCGAGGCTAGGCTGCGGCATTTCTGGTCGCTTACCTCTGCTAAGCTTGAGGCCTGATGGAAGGGGGGGGGGTGGGAAAGGGGCGGGTGGGAGGGAGGAGGATATGTCAGTCTACTGGCACCAGCTCGTATCTGGCGTAGAGCAGAACAGTCTTTTCGCTGTGGAAGGGGAGGCCTCTAGGGAGGGGCTAAAGTTCGGGCCAGCTTGGACACCAACTGTGGAAGCTGACAAGCGACCACAACTTACTCGGCGAAAACAACTTGACGGAAGAAATAGGCAAGCGAACGCAGAGAAAAAAAAAACATTGAGAATGCTGGTTTACGAGCAATTCAAGGAAATCGCTGTTCAGGGGAACAGCTTTTCTCACGCAACAGTCACCTTCAGAGAGATACATGAAGGGGGCAGTATTATTAATCGCTGAGGACCCTTGCCCTTCTTCATTTACGTGCCCGCCGAAACGGCCCCACGCATCGTTACATTTTGATAGGGTGTTAAGAATGCGACAGCCCGCTGATTCCTAGAACCCAATAGTTTCAGAGTTTAGTATAAAATATTAATTAGTGAACATGCCTGAATTCCAGCCAATGCCACTCCAAAATGACGCTGTCACTAACATATATCCAGCAAAACATAATAAAACATTTACAGATCTAAGGCAATGCCTACAAGTGAGTTAAATTACGATTACAAATTATCATATTTAGGAGTATCAAAGAATTTCTTGGGTCGCCGTGGAATTGGCCGCACAATGTTAGATTTAGGAGAATTTGTTAACGGACCAAGCATACTCTGATCAACGCACGGTTCGTAAGGCGGTGCCGAGGCCGGAACTCGACCGATTTCTTCGTAGGGTGGTGCCGAGGCTGGAGTAGCGCCATAAGGAGCTGCATTTTCTTCTGATGAATCCGGTTCAAGAAATTGGCGCCAATAGTCCTGAAGCAAACGAATTGCACTGTTGTTCATTGCCTACTATGCACAGCAGGGAACGACCTGCTATTGCGGAAAATTTTTGCAAAATTTGTCCAGTTTTCCTCCAAAAACTGCCGTTTTTTCTCAAAAAAAACCGCCGTTAAACGGGTTGAGGCAGGGTATATAGCGCACTGACAATAATCAGAACTTCAGTGCTGAAGAATAAGTTGAACAAACCGGAGACATCCTCAACATCTGCAACACACTGCGTTCCTTTTCGCGAGCGTCGTTCGATGCTATGTGTATATCACCGCGAGGATATGTCGTTTGACCCATGATAGGGATGGCCATGCATCGTGCAATATTTTCGCCCGTCATTTTGTTTACGTCTTTCAATGCCTCGACCTAAAATTAAGGAAAAAAGATACAGGACTGTAATGGATAACTTTTATAGCCGGTTACCTTTTGCAAGTGGAGCATTAGGTAAGATAATGTGTCCCTGTTCGTCTGAGGGAGATCACAGACGGCAACGTTCAAGGCTAGAATGTTATTTGACTGCGCCGCTCTGATGAATTCTTCACGAGAAGATTTGGGCACGAGTGGATCCTGAACGAAGTACTAGTTACTGTAAAGTATCCAGAATCTTGCAACATATACTTACACGAAGTTCCCGTAAGAATGACTTGATAACATCAGCAATCACTTCAATCTCTTGAAAAGCGAGCTTTGGGATGCCACGAGAAGTACGAAGCTCATTCAAAACACTTTGTGCCTACAAAACGAATACGTATTACGGGCCTTGCCATGAGACTCAATCACCACTCCCTATTTATGAGCCTAAAAATCACAACTTACATGATCCTTCCTCCCTGGAACACGATACAGCCCCTCGCGACTTAATCCACGATTCTCTAAATCCACCACACAATAGATTACCGGATACGCAATCATGGGTGGCGTTGAAGGACAGAATTCCTGAAAAACTAACACCTAAAATATTAGT